ATATATATATATATATATATATGGATGTATGGATGTATGTATATATCTATATATATATATATTTTTTTTTTTTAAATATATGTATTACTATATAATCTTATTTAATATTCCGTGAAACACGTACGATCGTTCGTGGTCCGAAAGAAGAGAAGAAAATCATAGCACGCGCGAAAGAGACCGAAAATTGTGCGCCCCTATGAAATTTCTTTAATTATTTGGGTATAATGTGTGTATGTCTGCCGTGAATATGTACGTCACGTACCCCTTTAGCATTTTTTTTCTGTATATTTATGGGTATGTAGGTATATACGTGTGGGTATGTGTGTGCGTGCGTGTACGTATTGTGTCATCGAGACTATTTCACGCTTTCGAATACGCGTTTTTCCTTTCTTTCTTTCTTTCTTTCTTTCTTTCTTTCTTTCTTTCTATCTTTCTTTCTTTCTTTCTTTCAATCAATCAATCTTTCTTTCTTCTCTTACAACTGGCATTATTTCATTCCACATTATGTAATAATAATTATACCTTATAAATTTATATTTTAAATAACATTACTCTCACTATTTAATCGTCTCGCTCATAGGAAATTCGTTAATGTACTTTGATTTTTTCCCCTTAACAATGTTATTTTTTAAAAACGACACGATCGAAGGAAGTTATACATTAACGAATTTCCGACACCAACGCGAGTTTTCGTTATTCAATTTTTTTTATTTTTCTTCTTATTCATTTTTCTTTTTTTTTTCTTTTTTATACAGCCAATCGAGATAATATAATTATTCTTTCCTTTCCTTTTTTTTTTTTGTATTTTGCTTCTTTTTTCTTCCTTTTTTTTTTTTTTTTTGGTTTTACTTTAGAGATCGTTTTTGTACCGATCTAAATATGTAGTACCCCACATCTAATTTGTGTAACTTTCTTTCTTTTTGCCTATCTGTTTTCTCTCTCACTCTCTTTCTCTCTCACTCACTCTTTCTCTCTCTCTCTCTCTCTCTCTCTCTCTCTCTCTCTTTTGATAAGGCTACATGTTAGACAAGTTTTCGCTTTACAATTTTTTTTTCTCACAAGAATACTGGTCTATATCAGTCTCATTTTGTTCGTTCAGTTTGGTCGTGTCACAATTTTTATATCTCGTTTCCCCCCCACCCCCATTTCATTCATTCGCCATTTTTTATTCGTTAATTTTTGTTAGTATTTATAACGTATCATCAACGATCTCGACCTATATATCTTTCTTGATCTTTTTTTTCTTTTTTATTATTTTATATATAGATATACATAAACATATATATATATATATATATAATAAATAAATTCCTTCGCGAAATATTCAATGTGCTTTTTTTTTTTTCTTAAAAAAGAGAAAGCGTAAAGATAATAAAAATCGAGAATTCGTTTTTTTTTTTTTTTACACAACGATGACGACGACGACCAAACTCCGCTTATAAATGTTTTTAAATGCCAGTTGTATGCTATTTCGCAGACGACAATGTTTTTCACGAGAAGAAACGTGCGTTTCTTGTTCGATTTATTAAATATTGTTATTTTTTTCTCTTTTTTTTTTTTTTTTGTTTCTGCTCAATTTATCTTTCAGAGAATAAAAAAAAAAGACAAGACAAGATAAAAATTGCAAATTCGCGAGCTGACATTATATATATATATATATATATTATCAATAATAATAATAATAATTATTATTTTATAACAAAATGATCGAAGCTTAAAACGCATGTTTCCCCGTTTCGTCTCGTATCGTACGAGTCTTTCGATAAAAGTAACCCCTATCGATTCTCGAATGAAACTCGACGGATTACTTTTTCCTTAACGATTAATTAATTATTAATCCCACGCATATATCGCATTTACTTTCTTTTCTTTTCTTTCATTTTTTTTTTTTTTTTCTTATATTATTTCTTTTTCATTTATCTCATTTTTCATTCGAAAGAAGAAGAAAATACGATCTCGTTCGTTCTCTACCAATTTTATTATCGATCAATCGCATCGAATCTTTATATAACATATTTCAAATAGTTTAATAACCTCACAACCATTTTGACAACAATGAATCTTCAACAAAAAGAGCGTCCCTATTACGACAAAAATCTGTAAAAAATTCGCGTCACCATTGCGAGCCGATTCCCGTCTCTAATTGTAAATAAGCACATTCCTTATTTTATTTTATTTTATTTTATTATTATCTCCTTCTTACATAAAATAATCCTTATTGTTTTCTTATTCTTTTTTTTCTTTTTTTTTTTTCACATTCTTTAACCGTGGACGCTGGTGTCGTATCCACGGGCGATCTCGAAAGCGCGATCGATCTATCGATCTATCGATCTTCGGAAGCGGAATCAAACTCGCCGGTCGACGTATCACATGTTTCGAAGCAACGAACCACGTTCCAAGATCGTTTTTTTTTTTTATTATTTATTTATTTTCGCTGCTGCCATTCTTTCTCAAGTCCTTTTTTCAAAACGACTCTCTTTCACACACTCACCCACGCGTGCGCACTCATTCTCTTTCTCACACGCACACATACTTTCTTTCTTTCTCTTTTCAGCGCACATTTCACGTTACAGCCCTTTTTTTCTTCGTTGAAAACCTTCGAGCATCGAACGATTCGAAAATCCATTTTTATTTCTCTTTCTCTTTCTTTCTCTCTCTCTGTGTTTTTTTCTCGTTCACTACTTTGTGTCCCTTTTTTCTAGTCAAAAGAATATTTAACAAAAAAAAAAAAAAAATGAAAAAAAAAAAAACAACTCTCTTTTCCGATCATATTCGTTTTTTAACACGTTTCATTTTCATTCGTTCGCAAGCTCAAACATTTTCGTTTCGATCGCGTTTTCATCGCACCGCGTTTTTCTTTCTTTTTCTTTTCTTTTCTTTTCCTTTCTTTTATTTATTTATTTATTTTTTTTTTTTTTCTTATTATCGATCCGCCGCGACGATTTGGATCATTTAAAGTAAAAGCGATTTGTTTCTTTAACAAAATTAATTAACGTTGTTAATTAATCGTATCTTTTCTATAAAGAAAAAACGCAAAAAATAATGAAAGAACCATATTTTTCTAATCGTATTATCGATTTACAATTACTTCTTACATAGATCGTACCCTTATACAAACTCGTATTCTCGCTTACTTAAACATGCGTATTATATCGTGTATATTTGTGTGTGTGTGTGTGTGTAGTTATCTGTTGGTATGTGAGAGTTTCTATTTAAAGTGTATACACGCTAAATGTTTGGCAAATTTTGCCACTTTTTTATTTCTTTCTTTCTTTATTTCATTCATTCATTTGTTGCTCAATTATGTGTGTTCGGTAAAGAAAGCTTTACGCTAGTGAATATGAAAGTCTTCGAAAATCTCTCGCGC